GGAGAGGGGTAGGATTAAGAACTCTCAGAAGATGAGTTGCCTCACGACTTACACTCAGGAATGTTGACTCATATGATCAGATGCAAAATGTCTCAGGAAGTATAAAGATGTTCGAAACATGCCTCATGGAGAGTTGCCAGAGCCTGCAGCTATAGACATATATTAATAAAGAGAATACAAGACACAGTGGAAACAGAGAGAAAGGGAACTGGAGACAAAGAGAGAATGAGCGTGGGGGTGATGTTTCCGTCTGTTAAAACGCTTTCAATAAGAGACAAAAACCGGCGGACTTTTACCACCCTGCAGAGCTGCTTGGGCTTTACGAGAGACGAGGATCATAAATTCTGTACTCACTCATTCTCCTGTTTACCTCCATTTGTACCCTACGATGAAGATTTTGGCTTCAACAGTAGAGTCTGAATTTTATATGCCTACACAAAAACCCCCGACTCGCCTTTTTTTGCTTTTTTTTTTTGTTTAAGAAGCAACTTCCTGTCACATTCTTGCAGCGGAACCATAAAATGGTAAGTAAATAGGATGATATTTTGTCCAAATGACTGATGCGTTTCTGTCTCCCGTTTTTTGTTGATGAGAAGTGTATATGCTGGACGTGCGACCTATTGTCCATAAATTATTTGGTAGTTTGTTTTATGTCCTCTTTCCTGGCGGAAATAGCTCGAGTGAATGTTTGTTTGCCTTTTTTTCGTGGGTTGAACCTTTTTTGTTTTAGGTGCTGGGGTGGGGAGGAAGGAGGGATAGGGTGGGGAGGAGTGGGAGGAGGTGGGGAAGGGAGAGGAGGTGGGGAAGGGGAGGAGGGATGTTATTGAAATGTACTCGTGTTCAACCTGTTGCCTCATGCTGTACAGATTGGTGGAGGAGCAGGTCACTTTGTCATCCACGGCTGCACTCTCCCATCACTCAGCCCTCTCCTACTACACCACACTCTTCCACGCAGCTCTCTTCCACAGGTCACGCCCACCCTCCAGCCACACCCACCACGCCCACCCCGCCCACACAACACCTTAACTGTTCTTGACGCCGTCTCGGCGCCAATCTTACTTCCTAACAGCTCCGAAAAGGGAGTATATACATGCACATTTAAAGATAAACTCGAATATTACTTAAAAATGTAAGCAAAATATTCGTGTTCTTCAGTGTGGATTAATTCCCACAGTATCAGTATAATCTTTGTACTGAGTTCTCTGCTTATGCAGGAATTTGCAATGCATAGCTTGCGGAGAATCATTCGCAATAACTTGTATGAAAATAAATCCTGCATGCAATCAGAGTGGCGTCTTTTCTGACCAGAAAAGAAAGAAACGTCATTTCCACTAAAGTAACACTAGCAGCACCACCTACGCTAGCAACAACAGCAATATTATAGCAACGGCAAGACTAGCAACAACAGCAAGACTAGCAACAACAGGAAGACTTGTAACAACAGCAAGACTAGCAACAACAGGACGACTAGCAACAACAGCAATATTATTACAACGGCAAGACTAGCAACAACAGCAAGACTAGCATCAACAGCAAGACCAGCATCAACAGCAAGACCAGCAACAACAGCAACACTATTGGCAACAGCAGCAACAGCAGCGTGACGAAACGTAATGAGTAAGGTCAAGGGGAAGGTCACCCACCCGCAGCACAAACAGGAAGGGACCCAGGAAGGAGCCAGCTGCAGCCCGCCCGCAGCCCCTCACCTCTCTTACTGACCTGTCTGCAGTGACTACAGTCAGGTCTACCTCTGTATTTACCCCGGCTACTGTAGTCTTCTTGCACCGGTTACGTTGTAGTGTAACTATTCTGGTATGATTTTTTTCTCGAATCTGACCTTAAAGTAGTGCTAAACTCCTAACTCTCGTATTACCTTCACTATCTTCACTATACCCCACTAATGTTGCATTACACAACACCCAGTATACAATATACAGTTTGAAAAGCACAAAAGGAATCTTTTAAAACTGAATTTTTCTTGTTTTTTTTTTTTTTTTTTGCAGCAAGACTATTGCCAGAATTAAGAGGGGGGTTAGGTACCCGGATAAGTAAAGAGAAGTAGATCTCTCCTCCCTAGATGATAGGGAGAAACAAGAAGGGGGTATGATCATGACATACAAAATCCTGAGGGGTGAATAAGTAAGGTGCACAAAGACAGCTTTTTTATTTGTAATAAAGTTGGACAAAAAGGACAAAGGAGGAAGCTGGAAACGTAAGACAGTCGAAGAATATATGAAAATACTCATACCTTGCAAATGTGTTCAGGAAGAGAAATTGATCAGTACTTTAAGCAGTGGAAGCCATCTCAATCCACTGTTTCAAGGGCCAAATGCTACAAAACATTATAATGTCAGCATAATTAACATAATATTGAACAGGTGCAATAAACAGTAGTATAAGGAGGTAGAACCATCTTCCCCCGCAGTCATTAATAAAGAGGCACTGTGCAAGGTAAGGACTATTATCAACCCCACCTCACCTTTCCCCCCCCCCCCCCCCCGAGAAGAAATCATCTGCATGAACACCATCTACACAGCAACCACAATAACCCCCCCTGCCAACCCCACTACAACCCCCCCCCCTCACCACCATCACTCCACAACCATTACAATCAGACAATCAGATCTTCACACAAACATTTATAGCGAATAATTGTATTCAATTGACCATGTGTGTGTGTTGGCTGAATCGCTACATTCGCTTGTGCATCTCCGTCTCGTGTTCTTCTGTCTCGGTTCTGCTGCATTAATTATTAACATGTAACACGCAAGGAACAAGGGAGGAGGAATGTCCGATACGTACACACACATGCATGCATCACTTCACTTTGTGAAGGACAGGTGCGATGGGCTGATTATAATCGATGCATAGTGCAAATTAATCATATAGGAAGTCCATATATATATATATATATATATATATATATATATATATATATATATATATATATATATATATATATATATATATATATATATATATATATATATATATATATATGCGAACAAGCCTGAATGGTCCCCAGGACAATATGCAACTGAGTTATATATCTCTGGGGTTATCTCTGGGGTGTGAGTTTTCAGTTATATATATATATATATATATATATATATATATATATATATATATATATATATATATATATATATATATATATATATATATATATATATATATATATATATATATATATATATATATATATATATATAATTTACCATAAAATACTATGGTGAATTATACAAAGAAGTATTCACCATAAAATATTATTTTTAATTGGATGTGTACAACCGTATTCCACCTACATTATTCTTAAAGCTTCTTGCTATTCAACAGGTCTTTTTTTTTAGTCGTGATAAGTACTTTATTGTGCTCCTTAACTGTGAGGTTGTCCGACAATTACTCACATTTATTTTACTTAATTTGTTTTGTATTTCTTTATTATATAGTTTGACACTTATATGTGGTTCCTACTTTGGTTTCTTCACTTTGATAACTGCGGAGGAGCTGCGTTCATCGTCTTCTCGCTAGTTGTTGATTCTCCTGCACAAACGTTCCTCTTCTCTCCTGGAAATCGAATTGAACATGTTTTCATCAACCTTCATTAGCTGTCGCTCAAGACCAGCCTCACCCAACTGGTGACCAAGGTCATCTTTACCCAGCTGGTGAATAAGGTTAGCTTTCACCCGACTGTCGAGCAAGCTCACTTTCACCCAGCTAGTAACCCCAGGTCACCTTCACTCAAATAATGACCAAGCTCAGCTTCACCCAGCTGGAGACCAAGCTCTGTTTACCGCAGCTGGCGACCAAGGTCAGCCCTACACAGCTGGTGAATGACCGACCAGTCTCGACTAAGGTGCAGCAGCCAAGTGGTCGACGTCAATCCAAAAGACAGTGTACAGCTCGCCCGCCCTTACCATTATTATTTGTAAAAACTTGTGCTGGCGTGACTTGGGCAGTATTATGATTCAAACAACACTTCCACTGTCATCGTTGTCATATTAGCGGATAAACAAGATACTTGCGCCTGCGCAGGACACAAATTACCCAGGTAAGGAAGGTGAGAGGGACATGATCGGAAGGAAGATCAGCAGGTAGAGAGAGAGAGAGAGAGAGAGAGAGAGAGAGAGAGAGAGAGAGAGAGAGAGAGAGAGAGAGAGAGAGAGAGAGAGAGAGAGAGAGAGAGAGAGAGAGAGAGAGAGAGAGAGAATATGGAAAGGGAGGGAAGAAGAAAATATAAAAGTCAGTAGAGACAGAAGGAGAGAGAGAGAGGGGGGGGGGGTAGAGAAACGGTGGAATGGAGGAGGCGAAGAAAGGGTGTGGGAAAACGGAGAATGTTGAGAGAATATGACGTGGGGAAACGAAGGTGAACTAGCTGGTCAGTCAGTCAGTCTAGCCCAAGTCCCGACCTTGAAGACAGGTAATAACACCAGGGACTAAGATGAACGCACTCAGCCATACACACACACACGACAACCCACGCACCCAATCACACTCACTCAACCACATGCACTCCATCCAACTGATGCTCGTGTCATCCTTATTATATTCTCTTGCAAGTGCAACCGGCAATAACTGAACGTGAAATCATTCTTTATACAGAACACCAGACAACCGGAGGAGTATTGACCATGAAGAACGCTCTTGATAACCAAAAAAAAAAAACTTGGGCAGTACAGCAAGAAAGACAAGGCAAAAACTTGTTAAACTTAAGACACCTTAAAGGGAGGGAAGTGGAAAAGGGGGGAGGGAGGGGGGAGGAGGAAGGGAAGAGGGACTTAGGGAAAAGAATATGTAGATGATGTTAGGAGTGATGGAGAGAAACCAAGGTGTAAAAGTTTGAAGGCGAATGAAAGATATTTTTGTATCATACTTCGTTTATAATCAAAGTTATTACATGTTTAACTAAATCATGTGTTGGAGGTAACTGAGGATAACTGCACCGGGTTCCTGTCAAGGTCTCCACGTCCTCAGCCGGTCTCCAAGGTCTTCACATCCTCATGCAGCCGGCCTCCAAGTTCCCCACATCCCCAGCCGGCCTCCAAGGTCCCCACATCCTCATGCAGCCGGCCCCAAGGTCCCCACATCCCCAGCCGGCTCCCAAGGTCCCCACATCCCCAGCCGGCCTCCAAGGTCCCCACATCCTCATGCAGCCGGCCCCAAAGTCCCCACATCTCCAGCCGGCTCCCAAGGTCCCCACATCCCAAGCCGGCCCCCAAAGTCCCCACATCCCAAGCCGGCCTCCAAGGTCCCCACATCCTCATGCAGCCGGCCCCCAAGGTCCCCACATCCCCAGCCGGCCTCCAAGGTCCCCACATCCTCATGCAGCCGGCCCCAAGGTCCCCACATCCCCAGCCGGCCTCCAAGGTCCCCACATCCTCATGCAGCCGGCCCCAAGGTCCCCACATCCCCAGCCGGCCTCCAAGGTCCCCACATCCCCAGCCGGCCTCCAAGGTCCCCACATTCCCAGCCGGCCTCCAAGGTCCCCACATCCTCATGCAGCCGGCCCCAAGGTCCCCACATCCCCAGCCGGCCTCCAAGGTCCCCACATCCTCATGCAGCCGGCCCCAAGGTCCCCACATCCTCATGCAGCCGGCCCCAAGGTCCCCACATCCCCAGCCGGCCCCCAATGGGAAATGAGAAGATGGGAGAGTGGAGCAGAGAGACGTCAAGCTGGAAGCAAGACACGATAGAAAAAACAGTTTTAAAGATGAATATAATTATAAGACTTTACAAACACGTTGCAGGATCTTCAGGACGTAGCAGCAAAGCACCGGAATATGCAATTCAGATATTCATGTATTCATAACAAATATTCCTGCATTAGAACACGGACCGAGAATATTAGTGGCGGTTAATATGTCATCATCAAGAATGTCTGGATGTAAATAGTGTATAATTGCTAAGTAAACATATATATATATATATATATATATATATATATATATATATATATATATATATATGTTATATATATATATATATATATATATATATATGTCGTACCTAATAGCCAGAACGCACTTCTCAACCAACTATTCAAGGCCCGATTTGCCTAATAAGCCAAGTTTTCATGAATTAATGTTTTTTCGTCTATCTAACCTACCTAACCTAACCTAACCTAGCTTTTTTGGGCTACCTAACCTAACCTTACCTATAAATATAGGTTAGGTTAGGTTAGGTAGGGTTGGTTAGGTTCGGTCATATATCTACGTTAATTTTAACTCCAATAAAAAAAAATTGACCTCATACATAGAGAAAAGGGTTGCTTTATCATTTCATAAGAAAAAAATTATAGTAAATATATTAATTCAGGAAAACTTGGCTTATTAGGCAAATCGGGCCTTGAATAGTAGGCTGAGAAGTGAGTTCTGGCTACTAGGTACGACATATATATATATATATATATATATATATATATATATACATATATATATATATGTCGTACCTAATAGCCAGAACTCACTTTTTGGCCTACTATGCATGGCCCGATTTGCCTAATAAGCCAAGTTTTCCTGAATTAATATATTTTTTCTAATTTTTTTCTTATGAAATGATAAAGCTACCCATTTCATTATGTATGAGGGCAATTTTTTTTTATTGGAGTTAAAATTAACGTAGATATATGACCGAACCTAACCAACCCTACCTAACCTAACCTAACCTATCTTTATAGGTTAGGTTTGGTTAGGTAGCCGAAAAAGTTAGGTTAGGTTAGGTTAGGTAGGTTAGGTAGTCGAAAAACAATTAATTCATGAAAACTTGGCTTATTAGGCAAATCGGGCCTTGCATAGTAGGCTGAGAAGTGAGTTCTGGCTACTAGGTACGACATATATATATATGTCGTACCTAGTAGCCAGAACTCACTTCTCAGCCTACTATGCATGGCCCGATTTGCCTAATAAGCCAAGTTTTCATGAATTAATATATTTTCTCTAAATTTTTTCTTTTGAAATGATAAAGCTACCCATTTCATTATGTATGAGGTCAATTTTTTTTCATCGGAGCTAAAATTAATGTAGATATATGACCTAACCTAACCAACCCCACCTAACCTAACCTACCCTATCTCTATAGGTTAGGTTGGGTTATGTAGCCGAAAAACTTAGGTTAGGTTAGGTTAGGTAGGTTAGGTAGTCGAAAAACAATTAATTCAGGAAAACTTGGCTTATTAGGCAAATCGGGCCTTGCATAGTAGGCTGAGAAGTGAGTTCTGGCTACTAGGTACGACATATATATATATATATATATATATATATATATATATATATATATATATATATATATATATATATATATATATATATATGTCGTACCTAGTAGCCAGAACGCACTTCTCAGCCTACTATGCAAGGCCCGATTTGCCTATTAAGCCAAGTTTTCATGAAATAATTGTTTTTCGACTACCTAACCTACCTAACCTAACCTAACCTAGCTTTTTAGGCTACCTAACCTAACCTAACCTATAAAGATAGGTTAGGTTAGGTTAGGTAGGGTTGGCTAGGTTCGTTCATATATCTACGTTAATTTTAACTCCAATAAAAAAAAATTGACCTCAAACATAATGAAATGGGTAGCGTTATATTTTCATAAGAAAAAAATTAGAGAAAATATATTAATTCAGGAAAACTTGGCTTATTAGGCAAATCGGGCCTTGCATAATAGGCTGAGAAGTGCGTTCTGGCTACTAGGTACGACATATATATATATATATATATATATATATATATATATATATATATATATATATATATATATATATATATATATATATATATATATATATATATATATCACAACAAGGATAGGGTGGTTAGGCTTGTTGTGGTAGCCGTGGTGGTCGGGATAGTGGTTAAGGCAGTGTTTTCGGTAGCAATTGTGGTGGACCCAGGTTGGTCTAGTGTTGGTGGTAACGGTTGCGTTGGTGGTAGTGATGGTGGTGGTGGTGGTAGTGGCAGTGGTGGTGTTGCCAGTGGTAGTGGTGGGGGTGACATTTGAGGTGGTGGCAATCGTTTTAGTGGAGATGGTGGTGGTGGTAATGATAGTGGTGGTGATGTATAGGTTGAGGTGGTCATTACCTGGGAGTGACGGCTAGGAGGGACGGCTATCAGGGAGGGCTGGGAGGGAGGGCCAGAAGGAACGGCTAGGTGGAACGGCTAGGCGGGAGGGCTAGGAGGGACGGCTAGGTGGGTCCAAACCAGCGGAACTAACGATCGAAATATTTCAGCAGCAGAGTTTTTGCTTCTGCAGGTGTTAATGAGCTGCCAGTGACTCTCCTGCAGGTGTTGCTGGGCTGCAGGTGTTGCTGGGCTGCCAGTGACTCTTCTGCAGGTGTTGCTGGGCTGCCAGTGACTCTCCTGCAGGTGTTGCTGGGCTGCAGGTGTTGCTGGGCTGCCAGTGACTCTCCTGCAGGTGTTGCTGGGCTGCAGGTGTAGCTGGGCTGCCAATGACTCTCCTGCAGGTGTTGCTGGGCTGCAGGTGTTGCTGGGCTGCCAGTGACTCTCCTGCAGGTGTTGCTGGGCTGCCAGTGACTCTCCTGCAGGTGTTGCTGGGCTGCCAGTGACTCTTCTGCAGGTGTTGATGAGCTGCCAGTGACTCTCCTGCAGGTGTTGATGAGCTGCCAGTGACTCTCCTGCAGGTGTTGCTGGGCTGCCAGTGACTCTCCTGCAGGTGTTGCTGGGCTGCCAGTGACTCTCCTGCAGGTGTTGCTGGGCTGCCAGTGACTCTCCTGCAGGTGTTGATGAGCTGCCAGTGACTCTCCTACAGGTGTTGCCTTACCCTCCACCTTCATCATCACCGCTGAACTTGAATTATATATTTGCTCGTGGCAAGTCTCACTGTATGTTGCGGTTCGGCAACTTTCATTTCCATTTGTTCTTTCTGCTTCACTATCACTCGTCATCATCATTAGGGTGACGGAGAACATGGCCGTAATCTCCATTGCCGTTGTATGAACTTGTTCTGTATGATAGGTGTAAGAGAAAATTTAGAATCAAAACAAACTTATTTCAAATCAAATCAAGTCCTCTTGGTTGCTGGCTGTACATGGGGATGTTGTGTACTGAACTTTCCTCTGTAACACCACCTGTGGTGTTACACTACATCCCATCAAGCGGACACAGGATTACAAAATATATAATTCTGTAATCCAGTGTAATTGAAAAACTCCCATACGACTTGATAATGGTCCAGGATGGGCCGAAACGTCGTCGCTTCTCCATTTTATGATGTGTAGTTTGGTCATCAAAATATATATAGAATGCTAAACTCTTACATCCAAACCCGATCTTTCAATGTTTCGCATTCTGGGTGTCTTTCCAGCCCACTTTTCCACCCATAACAAACGCCTTGGTCAAAACCGGAAAGAACATTGGAATCACGTAAGTGAATTACAAGTAAACAAAAATCTATGATAATTCAAGTAAAGCCTGAGACGAGCACAAGCAGAGAAGAGCGAGGTGGGAAGAAAACATGAGAAAACAACTCTCAGGATCCCGGGTGGGAAGCAGAGGTTGGTAGTAAATATTAAATGAACCACGAGAGCGGTTGAGTAGGAATAAGCTTGCTTCTTGCGACTTACTTTGCTTGTGAGATGAATTACTGTGATCGAAGTTGCTTTCTCTGAGTATACTTCTTCCCCTTAATTATCCACTTGTCTTCCTGTAGCACTGCTGGAGAAAGAGTGAGGTAATTATCAAGGGAAAGGGTCAAACCATTACGACTATATTACACTTGGAAGGGGTCAGGATAAAGATTTGGGATGGGACGAGGGGAAAGGAATGGTGTCCAACCACTTGGACGGTCGGGAACTGAACGCCGACCTGCATGAAGCGAGACCGTCGCTCTACCGTCTAGCCCAAGTGGTTGGGTCTGCTGGAGAAAGTGTTGAACTGGTTGAGATAGCTGGATATAAGTTCTACAGTTAGATAATATAACTATGTAACTGTGTCTTTAGAACATGTTTCATTCCGCTTTGTTGTGAAAATCACCGCCCATACTCTCACAACTTTAATGGAGACCTTACAATAATTTACAACCACATGACACAAAGGTGCATAATTGCATTCATGTCAACAACAATTACACTAATAAAAGCACCATGGTGGTGTTTACCCCCCTTAATAAGACAGGTAATAATAAAGTAACTCACTGTTAACGATAAAGGCACAGATTACTTAAATAGTGTTATCCGCAATCACTTAAAGGTGCATGGCAAGGCAGGACCTAGCAGCGGGTGGGTAGCAGGACCTGTAATATAATACTGTGTTGAAGAGTCAGGACATTGCTCATTGAGAATTAAAGGTTTAAATTTCTAACTAATTTTATTTGCAATAATAATTTGCACAATTATTCAAGTATCCAGTTAAATTTTACTATTCATAATTGAAGAAAGTGAAGAGCCTGCATTTGAATAACTGAAGTGGTTTCCATGTTTAATGAAAAGACATTATAGAATTCTTCTGTGAATGGATTATTATTAAATATGATTGTTGCAATGTTACACGACAAATTAAACTCTTTTTCGTCGTGTATTTTTTTTTTTAAATTCATTAGCCTTAACCATGCAAATGATGATTATACACTGAACTTCTAGGTTATGAAATAAAAGCATTAAATCACATTAATAAATTCCATAAAACCATCTTGCTTGATATACAATGCGAGCAAGTTACTGTTCCACTTGAACCAAAAAAAGATTTAACGATGAATATCCACTCCCACAACCTTCACTATCCTTTACCAGCGCCCCTAACCCTTTACCACCTTCCCATCACCAGTTTCACAACTTGTTACTTTCCCTATTTTTTCACCATTTTCCGCACCCTTCACCAACACTCCTATCCATTACCATCTTCCCCACTTTTCACCACTTTCCCTATTCTTCATCATTTTCACTGTATCACCGTAACCATTTTATTACATACTGTCATTATCAATAAACTACATAAGATAAACTAACATTGAATTATGTAAAAACGAATATGTTTGATGAATCTTGATGAAGATGATTTCTTAGTGTATTAAGCTGCAACACCTGTCTCTTGTTTAATAAATTAATTATATAACCAATCTATGTACAGAACGATCTATTCAGCTTATGCATGTGATAAGGATTCAATTTAAAGGACACTTTAAATTGATCAAATTTAAAGGTGAATTTAAAGGACACTTTAAATTGATCATTTTCTTGACGTTGGGAAACTTTTGGAGGACGGGCTGGTGAGAGGTGAGAGGTATTTTTTTAATATTATTATTATTATTTTCTACCACAGACGTGGCCATACATTTACAATGCTAATCAGAATATATATATTTTCTTCTGTCCTCCATGGACGGAGTTAGAGAAGTGTTAAACATATAGTTCAGGGATTTATTGAACAATCAACCACAGAAGGTGATTCGGTGAGAGGTAGTGAAGGAGAGGAATGGTGATGATGGTGATGGATAGTGGTGAAGGCTAGTGAAGATGAAATAATAATACAGAGAGTATTATAATACAGTCTGTATTATTATTTCTAATATCTATTTATTATAATACACAAAGAGTAATCACATTAACGTAATTGCATCAATGACTAGGGAGTGTGCAAGGGAACATCCACCGCACAAGTTCGAACACTCACCTGCTCCAACGGATTTTCTCAAATATTATAACAGTAATTACATAATTCATTATTTCTCCACAATGAACCATATGAAAGAAAAAAGTAAATTTTCAATAAACCATTATGACTAAAACATTGAAACATACACAAACGGGAACGCAATATCAATGAATACAACAAACTACCCATTATCAGAGACAGAAATTCCTCTTCCCATTAGGCGCTCTGGTCTCCGTAAGAACTGTATTAATACAAACCTTATTCTCACTAGTTACCACTAATGGGCTGCGTTGGGGAGTTGCTGAGGTCGAGATAATATTCGTATTCATATGAGCATTACCGAATATTACACATAACGTCTCTTGGCATTCCAACGAAAAGAGTGAAGGGAGACTTTTGGTAAAAAGTTTCTCATACTGCATTAGCCACTGCCAAAACAAACAAAAAAGCAAGCACCGTGAATTTTTTTTCTACAAAGCAAATTTTGTGGATCCAAATACATGCCGAGGTCATTTTTGGGGGAAATACAATACGTACGGTAATGCACGCCGAAGATAACAAGTTTTCTGAGCATTCAACTTATATATAAAAAGAGTAAAATTTGTTAGTTATTCTTCATTTGGATGTCAGTGTAATATGACACACAGCGACCTTCTTACAAAAATTTAAAAAATTAGTAATAGTGGAATAGATGGATTATCAATATAAATTAGAAATTTAAATGAGTCATGATGTTCGGATTTATTTTTTAAGCGTAGGAGTTTTAAATGAATGGTTTGGGCTTAGAGATGTTCTGAAGCGAAAAGATTCTTGGAGACTGAACAGTGTGGTGTAGTGGATAAGGTATTAGAAATGCGAAGGTGTGTATATATATATATGTATATATATATATATATATATATATATATATATATATATATATATATATATATATATATATATATATATATATAGAGTTCCGTGCTGCGTTTCACTTACGAGATGGAAAAGGATGGGAAGCTGCCTTTTCTAGATGTAACAGTCATGGAAAAGGGCGGAGGTTTCCACACTGCAGTCTACACAAAGGAAACAAACATAGGAATGTGCCTAAATGCCAACAGCAACTGCCCTGACAGGTACAAGAGGAGTGTTGTTAACGCATACGTCGACCGTGCTCTCAGCCACAGCTCAGAATGGAAGCAAGTCGACGAAGAACTCTGTAGGGTAAGGCAGGTTCTAGTCAATAACGGCTTCTCCAATGGTTTCATCGAAGACATCATAAGAAGGAAAGTGAAAAGCCATGCAACCTCCGAAGAGACAACTAACACAACACCTATACCCCCTATTAGACTATTTTACAGGAACTTCTTTTCCACAGCTCATAAAACAGAGGAAAGGGTCCTGAAAGATATTGTTAATAGAAACGTTATCCCTACAGACAAAAATCAGAGGATACAACTGACGATTTACTATAAAACCAGAAAAACGGCCAGCCTACTCATGAGAAACTCTCCAGACACGAAACAGAACGCTTTAAAAGAGACTAACGTCGTCTATGCCTTCAAATGCCCACTTGGGGACTGTAAGCTCCAAAAAACCCAGTATATAGGCAAGACAACAACATAAGAACATAAGAACATAAGAACATAAGAACAAAGGTAACTGCAGAAGGCCTATTGGCCCATACGAGGCAGCTCCTATTCTATAACCACTCAATCCCACTCATATACTTGTCCAACCCGCGCTTGAAACAATCGAGGGACCCCACCTCCACAATGTTACGCGGCAATTGGTTCCACAAATCAACAACCCTGTTACTGAACCAGTATTTACCCAAGTCTTTCCTAAATCTAAACTTATCCAATTTATATCCATTGTTTCGTGTTCTGTCCTGTGTTGATACTTTTAATACCCTAATAATATCCCCCCGGTTATGTCCATTCATCCACTTGCAAACCTCCATCATGTCCCCCCCAACTCCTCGCCCCTCCAGTGAACGCAACCCAAGCCTTGCCAATCTTTCCCCACATGAAAGATCTCCAATTTGGGGAACCAACTTAGTCATCCCACGCTGGACACGCCCAAGTGAACCCATATCCACCCCACAATACGGCGACCAAAACCGAACTGCACAATCTAAATGGGGCCCAACCAGAGCAAGATATAGCTTGAGAACCACACCAGGTGTCCCGCCACTAACGCTGCGATCAATAAATCCAAGTGTCCGATTTGCCTCATTACGAACATCCATGCACCGATCCTCCTGTTTCAAATTCCTACCAATCACAACTCCCAGATCCCCTTCGCAATCCGACCCCGCAATCACAACACCATCCAGCCCGTATCCTGCAACTCT